AGAGAGAGAGAGAGAGAGAGAGAGAGAGAGAGAGAGATGAGGCGGAGAACAAGAAGGCAAACGTGGAGGGGAGAGAGAAGAAAAGGAAGCAAGAGGGGAGGGGTAAATGGGAGGAAGAGGCAAGTAGATGAGAGGAAGCGAGACGAGCAAAGGAGGAATAAGTGGAGGGGAAGAGAGGAACAAAAAGATGGCAAAAAGGAGGGTGAGAGAGCAGAACAGGAAGCAAGAGGGGAAGGGGGAGAAGTTGGATAGAAGTGAAGGGGAAGGGGTGGGGGTGGGGGTTGAATGAGAAGAGAAAAAAGAAAACAATTTGATCATCAAACATTGCATAACGTTGTCAGATCACATCATGTTATATCTCAAGGGACAGGCTGCAACATTCGCTGACTAAGCAGTATTGGCACGCAGTGAGTTTTTTCTTCCCTTCAACAACCCCGGCTCAGCAGTGGCCGGAGCAGACTCTTTGTCGTGTCCACAAGAATTGTCAGTTGTACACTGCACATTGGCTAAACCTGTGTCCTGTACATCAGACAATGGCGAACATTTTCAGTCCTACATTAATATATTAGTTCGTCCGTCAAGTTTTGACAATGACCAATGCATCCGCAGAAGAGAATACGTGTATTTCTGAAGCGAGGAAAGTTTGCCACATTTTGATAATTCAAGAGTTCCACTTCCACTTGGGGCTTCTTGAAACCATGACGCTGAAAAGAACATTAGAAAGACACTGGCTTTGTCAGCTATACATTAGACTTTGGTTATCTTTGTCGGTAGTACATTAAACATTGGTTAACTTTGTCAGTTGCGCATTATACATGGGTTTACTTTGTCAGTTGTATATTAGAAATAGCTTTACTTTGGCTTATCGCGTCAGCTTTATATTGACTAATCTTATCAGTTATACTTTGGCTAGTCTTGTAAATTATACATTGACTTATCTTATCAGTTATCTATTGGCCAATCTTATCAGTTATTCATTGGCTAATCTTAACAGTTGCACATTGGCTAAATTTATTAATTTGTAAGTTATACATTGGCTAATCTTATCCCTTGAACATTGGCTAATCTTGTCAATTGGTCGCTTTTAAACACAAGGGGGCTATCACGAAAAATGCTGTTTTAAGAATATTGAAGGTAAAGTGTTTGCCCCTTTTTCATTTTCTTTACAAGACAAGGAGAGTTTTCTCTATAGCAAAACAAATATACACACCAATGAAACCAAACTTCTCCTATAGGTAGGGCAATGCCAACTTTTGGTGTCGGTCAAGATTTCAGGAAACCCCCGAAATCTGGGTTAGCCCGCTTAAAAGCGACCAATTATACATTGGCTAATCTTGTAAGTTATACATTGGCTTATCTCGTAAATTATTCGTTGACGAATCTTAAAAGTTATACACTGGCTAATTTTGTAAATTAAACATTGGCAAATCTTTTTAGTTATACAGTGGCTAATCTTTTAAGTTAGACGTTGGCTCTTACGATTGCAGGTCCCGTAGCCTTACGACAAGTCTACCGACGCTTCAAAGTAGTGTTTAACGTTAAGGAACCCAACCAGTGCAGACGCCAAGTCTTTTGTAGGTTCAGTAAGTAAGGATCTGAGGTGTGGTGGTACTGTATGATGTGATGAGGGAGTAACGACCCTTCCAACACTGTAAGTTTATACAAGAGTAGGGACCCTTTGAGTGAACTTCCATAAAATACAGAATGGACAAACTTTACCATAGAGCAGAACTTTCCGTTGGCAGGCGCCATGGCGTGTTATTTCTCGTGCGTAGTTTTGGTAGACTGGACAAACTGTTTTTATTAGTTCTCGCAAACACCCACGAACACACACACACATACAAACACATATACACACAAACACATTAAACATACACATATACACAAACTCACACACATAATATACAGAGAGAAACAGAGAGAGACAGAGAGAGAGAGAGAGAGA